AGCCTCAGAATATTAATAATCTATGTTAAAAAAATTAAAAATAGACGCTTCCCAAAGACATTCTTTTCTATTTCCAAGTGTATAAGAGCACTTGGTATTAAAATCACTTTACTAAGCAATGCTCAGCCTTCACCTGAGGATAATGTTATTACAGGCTCGATTTGTGCTGATTTTTAAAAACGTCTAACTCAATATTTTAGCCATAAAAATTTTGACGAAGTTTCTAGATTTCGCTAATAGATGCCCAAACCTTTTCCCCATCGCAAAATCTTTAGACTTGCGTAATATTTCATTGAGTAAAATATTGAGTTAGCCATTTTTAAAAATCGGCTCAAATCGTGCCATTTAACAATACTACTTGAGGGTGTCATCTATTGTAATCGTTTTCAATTTTACCGTAACCCAATCCATCTTATTTTTATATATTTACCAAAGATGCCACAAGTCTATTTGACTATTATTTTTATGTTTTCGCTACTAAATTATAAATGACAACGCTATAACTAGAGACATCGAAACTCATATTTTAAAATATGGTAAAAAAAAATATTTTTTATGATAATAATAATATTAATTTCTTTTTATAATAATTGTCTTGTGCTTCTAAATCTTTCCTTCTAACTTGAATCATTCATGATGCCAATTTTGGAAATGTTCTTATTTAGCTTGTGAATTTTTTATTAATGCTACTTATCAAACGAATTGAAGCATTTAATTAAAATGTATACTAGTTTAAATTAACCGAAAAGGAAAAATAATATCTATTAAGATTGTAATATCACAAAACTCTAAAATAGTTAAAATCAGGGAAAAAGAAACTTTATTGTATTTAGACTTATTTTTGAATCGCAATTTACCGATATGTTAGCTTAGGGCTGTCGTTATAGTTTTTATTTCGCTTTTAATTGGTTTGTGTTTTATTGACTGGAAAAACTTATTGATGAATGAGTAAGTTCTAATCAGGCATTACATGTTTGACGCCCAAATATTCAGTGCTTCTATAATTTCGTTCTAGCATGATGCCAATCTTGGCACATTTTTACATATTTTGTCAATAATGCGTTTTTCTTTAAAATATCTATCAAGCAGGCTGAAGCACTAGAATGTACTAAATACACACTAATTATTGATATAAGTTTCAGACTTAATGCTTTTAAAATTTTGGCTAACTTAAAGCTTATATCATAGTTTCTTTTAGCTTGTGATTGTAAAGAAATAATAAATGAGACAGTAAATATTAATGCAAATAAGATATTTAGAATTTTTATATTCTCCGTTCTGACTTTCAGGCCATTTTCTTATTTTTCTAATAACCTTTTTCTTTATGCTGACTACTAAAGGAATTAAAACAATATATAATTAAGCACTGAGGCCCTACTTCGTCTTATTTTAAATACTCATTTGTTTAGCCATCTATATAGCTTCCTCTAAACAACCTTAAAGAGGAAAGGCTATTTATACTTTGTTTTATTTATACCGAAAAAGAATATATATAAAACACATTTTATTTATTCGATGAACAAACTTAAAACAAAAAATATGGTTTCCTAGTTCAAAATCTCAGAAATAAGTTTAAAAAATAAGTCGAACCACAAGACTTGGCCTAAATTTTGATAAAATTTTCAGAATAAATACCTTTAGTTTCTTTTTAATTGTAAGGTTGGCCAAAATTTTGTTGCTAATAGTTTTTTTCCTTTATACTTCTATTATACTTTTTAAAGCACTCATAGGCAGTAACTAATAAAGCATGAAACAAAGTATAAGCCAACTTTAATGGAGATATTTTTAAAAAACAAAATAAAAATAGTCACGGGAAAATAAAAAAATACATAATCAGAATTTTTCGTAGGCAGGAGGCCGAAGGTCGGACAAAAGTTTGGGGGCAAAGCCCCCATAAAAATGTAGTACCCCAACCCCCGTTTTTTGGATTAATTCTGGCCACACCACTAGATACTCCCATGGACCTATTGATCTCAAGTTATAAATAAGGATTTTTATGCTTACTATTTTTTGCTTGTTAAGCAGTCTGTGTATCATATACTTCTATCTATTGTTTAAAATTACTTACTAGTACTGAGATATGGTATAAGGGAATAATGTATTTTCATTATTTATAAACTAAATTTCTTGTTAAAAGAATATTTAAATACCATATTTTGAGGGCATATGTTTAAAGCTATTTTATAATCTATTTCTATTATCAAGATTTTTTTTGTTTTTAAAATCTTTTTAAATATTTATTTATCAAGATATTGCATAATTTATGCCTTTTTTTGTAAAGCGAAAAAACTTATTCCAAATTATTTTTTGGATATCTGTGGAGGTGTTTTAAAATTCACCATTTTTTTTTATAAAGAACTTATCAATAGATCAAAGCTATTAATTTTCGTATATATTTATTATAAGATGAAGTATTACATTTTAATATTATATGTATAAAAGAGAGGTTTTAAAGATAAAGGATTTTTTTATAGCCCTATAGTAATACTAATATTTGATTAATGTGAATTTATTTTTTTCAAAACCATTTTTTTTAAAAAAATGACTTGACACTACAAATATTCGTTTATTTATTAGTAGAAATAGATAATAATATACACAGATAAATAAAGCTTATTAGCTAAGATAAGAAATGTAAGATGATGAATCATAAAATTTATTTCAGTTGAAGTAAACTAATTTAGCACATACGTTTTTTAAAATTTAAATTATAAAAACATATTTTTGTATTTTAATATATAATTTTAAAGTTTATCCACCATCCTCACGATAACACTATATAATCCAATAGCCCATAACTATTTTTATTTATATATAATAAAACAAAAAAAGATTTACATAATATATTTTTTCTGAATTTTATATTTATATACCACATAAAATGTTTCCGAACAACGCCATAACCAGAAATTTGCAATAGATAGGTAAAAAGGGAAGCAAAATTAGCAAAAAAATAAATCCAAACCAAAATTGTCAATAAACGGAAGTCAAAACAATTGGATCGGGAGAGGGGTGAATAGGAGGGCCCCCGGAGTGAACCGTTATACCCAAATATATTTTTATATTCTAACACATAACTGAAGCCTTGGTACTAAATTGTTATAGGAACGAATCGAACCTATATATTTTTTTTAAACAGGGCTAAAAGCTTTGTTATACATATATATAAATTGTAATTTAAGACCATCCATATGCTTGATAAGTAACCCTGCATTCATAGTTGGCGCTAATTCTCGCTGAATTATACAAAATGCGCCGTATTTTTGTATTCTCCGCAGCAATTTTGCTCTAAATGTGAGGAGGGGTTACGAAGTATCTAAAATTTGCGGTATTTTTGTGTATTTTTATATACTTCGCCACGAATTCACGCCAACTGTGAATGCATAAGCGAGAATCGCATAACATGATTTTCAAATTTCATCATAGCGGTATAACTTGTTTCAACACATCACCCATTCATTTTAAATATACCTATTATTTTCTTGCTTTTGTAAATTATGCAGCGATAAATTAAGTGAATCGCGTATATTATAAAACGAAACCTAACATTTTCCTGCAGATTTTTATTATCTTTATAATAATTTAATCATTTCGTTTCTATCAATTTTTTAAAATCACATGACCCACGGAGTTTCCCAAATCTCTTCAATATCTTATTATAGGGAAGCACGGGCGTTCCTATTATTAAAGTTTCTAAATATTTAGCTCTCCGAGATATCGTTAAAAGATCACAAAATCATAGATTAGCAAATGTCAGAAAATTTGTCGAAAGAACTCAATAAAATTGTCAGGGTGTTGTTTTCTAATGACTAATTTATCATTCACAAGATAACGTGTCAGGTCATATGATAATTTAAGATTAGAAAATCCCGACAAAATATTATGATTTATGAGTGACTTTTAGCGATTTCAATCCAATTATGAATATAAGTATATGTAGAAAGAAATGAAAATATTCTACTAATAAACATGAAGCGAATATCGAATAAATATTGAAAAAGATGACATCTAGGCAAGTGTCACCTGATTCAAGTTATGCACTATGTAATTAAAGCAAAAGAAGGCATTACACAGTTTTAAAACCCTTCAATAATTTGTATTCAGGATCGGGTTTAGAGCCAGCCCCAAAAGGCAAACCTGTATAGAGTATAAAGTGTAACTTATTATTTTTATTAAAAAGTATCGAATTTTGTTCATCTTTATTAGTTCTATAAAAAAATTCTTTGAACGAATAAGTCATACTCGGGGAAAAGCATTTGCATGGTGCTGTTGCCGGAACTAAAAAATTATCATTTTTGCATATAAAAATTATATATTTTTTAAAAATAATATGAATCTAGAAATTATTTTAATTGGCGTGTAAATGGTTAGACTAGTTTCAATATCATGAAAATATTATATTAGTTCATAACACCTTGACAAATTTTTGTCTAATAAGGTGATGAATTATATTTAAAATTTTTCAAGTAAAAACATTTTCTTAAATTAAAATTTTTGGAAAATTGTAAAATTTTAACAGAATCATAAATTATATTCATAATGTTATCCAATATTTTTAAAAAAATTAAAGCGACATGAGACATGGATTATTCATTTTTTAGTAAAAAAAATTATTAACCTTTAGAGTTTAATATTTTAGAAAAAAAGTCCACATTATATCCCTGGAGTATCCCATAAGCATAATTTCATGCTATATGTCAAAATCCTATATGAGACAAAAGGCCAATTCTATAAAAATATCAATCGACCAGCATAAAATAAATAGAATGGCCCAATTGCCCAGAGTTAATATAAAAATATAATAAAGTCCAGGCCTAGCCCATTAAAACAAAAAATGTAATCACGGCCTAAACCCATTAAAAAATTGAAACAGAAACCCTGCTCATATTTAATTTTTATTTTCTTTGCCCGACCCTTACACCAAACGAGGGTTGCGGGCCAAAAAGCCTATATACGCCTTTGCTCTGTTTATATCATTTTTTTTCATTTATTACATTAAGATATAATTCTCACAAATTATGCAACCGAGATTAATGTATACTGCAACATTTATGCTGATCTTTAATCTCCGAACTATTTTAGCATGGAACGTTCAACCGGTTCAGCAAAGAGGTTACTATTAAAACATATCTTACATCAATATTTTGTATCTTTTATTAAAATGTGAGAACTTTAAAAAAAAAATTCTTAAAGTAAGTATGTAAATAAAATGCTTTCCATTTCTTAACATCTATATATGTTTAGGAGTATATTAAATCTGGGGTTCATATGTAAATGTTTAGGGGTTTAGCAAATGTGGGTTTTTAGTAAATTTAAAAAAAATTAAATCATTTATAGAGCGTGTTTTTTTAAATTTGGGACATCCAATTTTTCCGATAATATTTCAGCAAGTTTAGAATACCTATTCTGTAAATTATAGATAATTTTTTCGTTAATAGGACTACTCTAAATTTACATGAATTTATTACAGCAAAATTTATGCCGAAATTGTCTGAAATTCATAAAGCAAGTACACTATGTGCTGCAATACGAATAAAAAATCACGTACTTCAAAATTAAAAAACGGGCACTTTAAATAATTTAAGTTTTTAAAACTGGCAAAAATTGGGGTAAATTAAACATAGCCATAAATTTTGCTAAACCGCGATGATTTATTATATATCGTTTTTATTTTTACACATTTCTATTCTATATTTAAATAATATAGAAAAATTTAGAAATGCTTTTACTGTTTTTACTTTTTATACTAGAAAGAAATATAATAAATTAAAGTGACAGCAAATATAAAAAATTCAATTTTATAATAAATAACATAAATTATAATGATTTTTTTTTGGTTTATATTATATATATGATCAAGAGCCTCCAAAAATTTATGAGCCCTTAGTGTTGTCGCCTAGTGAAAGGGTAACCTATATAGGCGAAACGATTAAATTACCCTGCGTCGTACATTGGAAATCATATGCTCACGGCCCCGTTATATATCAGTGGACTAAGGATGGAGAGGAAATCAATAATGTCGCCTGGACTGGTCATAAGATAGTCAAAATGTTCGTGAATTATAACACCCAGACCCAAAACCTAACAGAAAATAAGTCGGAAATCTTTGAAGAACGTGAATTTCTATTTGGAAATACCAATGTAAATTTAGATACAGAAGGCCCCGCCCTCATATTGGAAATAAACTATTTGAAAATTAAACAGACGTATACTTCAGATAGCGGAATATATGTGTGTAAGGTACTCAACGGATTTGGAAACATTCGTATAAACTACAATCTAGTTGTCATAGGTCTTAAAATTATTAACTATTATTTATTTACATTATAAATTTTTGACTTGAGATGGATACAATATAATAAGATTTTTTTAAAAACACGATTTGTATCTATTTGAATGTTTAGGCTTAAAAAATGGATAAAGTTTAGAGATATTAATAATTTTATCTAACTAATATGTTACATATTTTTTTATAAAATTTATATTTAGACACGCACATAGCAAAAAATAACTCTGGAATTGTAAAATTTCAATCTACAATTGACGCATTTTCTAACACATTGCCAGGAAGTAAAAAAAAATTCCCCAAAATAACAATAAATTATTATTATACATTATAAAAAAATCGTTTATAATATCAATAAATTTTATTTAAAATTTTTTTGGTTTTTATTACATCGTAAAAATGAATAAAATTGTATATTATAATAAAAACAATTCATATAACAAAATATTAAATTAAATTAATTTTTTTTTTAAATAAAAATATATTAATTAAAAAATTTTGGTCTAAAACCTGCCCTTCATGAGTTACTTGTTAATCAAGTTATGAATTGGCTAAAATACAGTGGAGTGGAGCGTATAGAAACGGGTAAACAGTAATGAGGGTAGGATGGCGATTACTGTACACAGGCGCGTACGCAGCGGGAAGGGGGGCAGGGGGACAAATCCCCCCCCCCCCCAAGCCAAAAAATGCAGATGCCGGATTATATTTTTCAAAAATATTATTGTTAATATTAATTTATATTTGTTAATATTTATTCTTATCTCATATATACACATATATATATATATATATTTTATTTATCACATTCATCTACTAAGTTATTTTATCAATCAATTTCGATTTCAAGTTTTCCTTGGCGTAATTTACCTATTATTTTCAAATTTTAGTGGCGTAATATTTATCTAAATTTCTAATAAAATAATAATTATCTCTGAAACTCCTTGTCCAACAGGGAGAAAAAAATTGTAAGCTTGTCCAACGAGATCGAGTCTCCGCCACAGTAACAACTATTTTGGAGTTAGAAGAGCTGATTATTAATGCTATTATTGAAATATCACAATGGCTTGAAAGAAATATTTCCTCAGAAGCAAGAAAATTATTGGATTCAATACTTATTCCAAATTTTTTTTCTCATTAGAATGTATTATTTAATTATACAACTATTTTATGTAATACTTTTAAAAACATAACATTGACTTGATTAAGAAGATGAGAATAGCGGAGAGCATTTTATTAGAACTCAAGGAAATAGAGCTAGTGTTGTTGAAGAATTTCATATTTTATATGTTATTGTTGAGTCAAAAGCAGAGCTATACGTGTTAAATATTTGTCCCCCTCGACTTGCAGCAAGCAAGCTCATCATCAAAACATTAATATAGGATCAGTAGAAGAGTATTATAAAACAAATGTCCCCTCTCCCAACCTTTTTCATATGGTGATAGAAAAAAAATATAAATATTTGTTATATTTTTATCATGAAGATGTTAAAATATCTTATGATGCCTTATTAGCTGAATAACTATGATTAAAAGATTAACTATGGTTGATACAGTCCCAAAAAATGCTATGGATGCTTTTTATTTCAAACACATTTTAGATTATACTCCCAATTATTAAAATGGTTATATATATTAGCAGCTCTTTAGTAAACTAATGAGAGAACATTCACTTTTTTAAGAAGTATAACAGAGCCTTGCAGAGGTACCATTTGCAGGACCAGGCCCAGATTTTATTTTAAAATTTTTTCCGGCCCGGGTTTTTTTTAAAAAAATTTTTAGGCCCGGCCCGGCTGGCTTAGCCCGAATTTTTTAAAATAAATTATATTTATTTTTGATATTTATAGCTAATAATAACGATTTCAAATATTTGGTTTTAAAATATACAACTCGGCTCGGATATTTTTTCTTAAAAAATTTTCAGGCCCAGCCCGGGTGTTTTTAAAAAAAAAATTACGAGCCCGGCCCGGGTATATTTAAAAAAATTAAAATACGGTCCGGCTCAGGGGCCGGGCCTGCAAGTCTGTGAAAAACATACCTATGAAATACAACATCTGAAAGTAGATTGAATGATTTGGATCTTTTGAATATTCATAGACATTTAACGCCAAGCAAGGATTGATAATTGAAAAATTAGCTCAAAACATACAAAATACAATTATTCCTAAGAAACTTTTTGTGTATTAATTTATATTTACAACATTTAAATTTTTTATACTTTATATATTTTAAAAGCTCAAAAAATTCAAATTTCAATTTTGGGTCATTTAGGTGATTCATATCGTGGGTTATATTCACTTTATATTTTATGATTCACATTTAAATGCCGGTTTATATATATAATTTTTTTAATTCACATTAGTTTAAAATTGTGTATTAGAAAAGTTATTAATCCTAATAAATTTATGCTTAGTATTTTTAATTAAAAATGTTATTTCTTAAAAAAATTTATTATCCCCCCCCCCTCCAGACCAAATTCCTGCGTACGCGCCTGACTGTACATTAAGCCTATTCAATCGAATCTCACAAATATAATTTACTATAATATGTATTCTATTAAAATAATTCGATTTTAAAATATAATGTTATAAAATGATTTCATCATATCTAATTTTAAACAGAAAAAATTATTATAATAATCTGATGATAAAGATTAAAGAACATGCGATCAAGAACATGCATATTAATAAATTTATAAGATGATTTTTTGAAAGCAAATTAGTTCCAACTAAGAAAAGAGTTTCTCAAGCAGTTGATATATCTTGTTAATCATACCACCTGTCAGATGATAGGTTATCAAAAGAAATGACAAATGATTAATATTAAAAAATATAAATATTGGAATATCCAATAAAATTATTCGTAATTAATTAAAAACAAATATTTTACTATTTAATTCATATTATTTGAAATGAATCGAATTTTTGAATAGACCGGCCTACCATTTATTAAAAAAGCTTTAATAAAATTTTCAGGAGCAACAAAAATTGCCACTTCATGTAAGAAAATACAGAGAAGTCGTCATTTTTTGTATAAATCGCTTACAATTATAAATTTTTATTAATAAATTATTATCAAGGAAACCCAAAATTTTTGGGTAATTTGACGACTCAAATAAAATCTAATCAAATTAACGGGCCTCAAGTTTATATGGATCACAATGTGGATGTCATAATTAAGCATATAAGTAACGATGTTACCCTTAAATGTCCATCCACCGATGGTTTTCCCCAACCCATATTAACTTGGTATAAGAATGGTAAGCAAATGTGGCGAGATACTTCTGACGCTGATGGAAGAGCATTACCAACTGATACGGAAAAATATTTGGATCTGTATAATCTCAATGTGCAAGATGAAGGTTTCTACACTTGTAAGGTTTACAATCCGTTCGGGGCTATCAACAAGACCTTCTTCTTGGAGATAGTGGGTTTGTTTTTAAACTTAACTGATAATATTTTTAAATGGTTGAATTTATTTATTTTAGAGCAAATAAAAGGGCCAAAATTAGTTGGCGAGTTTCCAATCAATATGACAATTATAGAAGGACAGGACGCTATATTAAAATGCGACATAGTTAGCGAACTTAAACCTCACATACAAGTAAAATATTTTTTGCCAATAAGTGATACGAATTACTTAAATTATTTATAGGCAATTTAATTTTAAATGTTATATACAATTTTTTTTTATCGTTTAGTGGCTCAAAAGGATTGAAGATAACAATATTATCGATAAAACTAATTTAAATACGTATGAGACTTCTACGTCTGAATATATAAATAATAAAATGAACATGATGGACACTGCTAAAATTTCTAAAATTGAACCGAAAAGGCCTATTGTAATAAATTTGGATTCATACAGATATCAAGTTTTACCCTGGGATAGTAGTACCAAAGGTTGGAATGGACCTAATGGTAGGTATTATAGCCATCTTAAAATTTCGGATATGAATAAAATCCGAGCGGGATTTTATGTTTGTATGGCTACTAATGCGATAGGTTATGACTACAGGGGCAGCTATTTGGACGTTACATCTATAAGTAATATTCCTTATTATTATTGTTTAAATTGGAAAAATAAGTTAAGATAATTTTAAAATATTTGAAATCAATCACCATTTTTTTCATCAAATTTTAAATGTCACAAGTTAGCTAATTTCTATAAAACCAATTTCAAATCATAAAATTTAGCTAATTTTGGTCTAATTTATAAATCTTTTAGATTATAAGGACTCATATGGAGAAAATCCTTTCTTCAATTTTACCATTAATGATAGAAGCGTGACATTAAATTTAGACGATGATAGAAAGGAAGAAAAGCCAACCTTAAACAGCATTGCCACCCTTTCGGGCTCGGCACTTATAGCAGTGCCTATATTGTCCTTAGCTCTAATAGTTTTAGCCGTGATTACAACGCGATCATTCTTTCTAAATGGAAAACGAAAAGATATCACTACGCATTCTAATGTTATAAGAGACAGCGACGAAAAGTTTTGCGATAGAAATAATATAAATGATAATAGAAATTGTCATAATAATGAATGGAGTTTAAATGATTTGATGACAGGGAAAAAAATATGTTTAAATGATACGCAGAGGTACATGGAAGTTAATAGCGTAGTGAGTAAAGATACTAGGCAAACAAAGAGGAAGGATCACGCGAAGAATAAATACGATATTATATACGACGAACCTTCGTCAGCATCCGCTGATACAAGTAAAGGCATTTTTAATTTGATAAAATATATGTTAGAATGTAGTTGGTGTATCAAATCTACTAATTCATTAAAAAAAGCAGCTAGCCCAATACCTGGAATTAAGGAATATAAGAATGACATATCTAATTACGAATGCAATGAAAATATTAGAAACTCAGATAATCAAACCAATCTTAATAATACAAATATTACTAGTTTAGTTCATAGTCATAACACACAACTTCAATTAAATTCATTCAATTATACCTCGAATAGTAGCACAAACATTAAAAAGGATATTTCATTCCAGCAAAATTGCCACGATAATAAATTTAAAACTAACAGAGAAAATACTAAAAAGCATAATATTAAGCTTGACTCCCATTTTACCTCTAATCATAAAGATAGAAGCTGCTCAAAACAAATTGATGATTATCAGAACACATTTAACCCACCAACAATTTATTGCCAGGGTTGTTACAAAACTATGATAAACCCTTCTTACCCAAGCGAGTCCGAACATCAGAGCTCTATACCAAATAAGATTAAAATTAATGAAAATCATATTACCGAGTCCGACGATATCTCTCGTTACGGAACCAAGCATTATCATGGAATAAACAAAGCCTTACGGAGTGATTCAGAACCAACTTCTATCACGGATACGAGTGGGAGTTTGATGTCCAATTCTGCTGTTGATTATTACGAATCTTACGCCAAGGATTACAATCCTAGCGAATGTCTAACATCCGATCATGATAGGTCAATATTTCTGAATCGAAACCCGCTATTTCAGTTACCCCCTTATCCCAAGGAGATTTTAGAAGAGAGTGATCGTGGTGGAATGGATAAAGTGAATTGGCGAGTTGTACCGAGTGCAGGACCAAGTAGTTGCGTTTTTTCCTGTGATTCTCGCGGATCTACTCATAAGTCAGACAATATTATAGTGGATTTGATCGCCGCAGAAGGCATTAAAAGCAGGTTAGAATAAAAATATGTATAATAACGATTAATTTTGTTATAATTATTTCACCATTTTAAAAAAATTATAGAAAAGGTAAGAAAAATTAAATTTATTTTAATTGACACTTCTAAAGATTTATTTATTGCTAGATTTTAAAATACAACAAATTAATAACCATTTGTCATCAATAATGTTGATTGATATTTGTGGATCTTAACAATTAGGTTAAATAATTCTTTGGCCGAAGATTACCGATCACGTTTACAAATGCCATCTGATCAATCACTGAACACCAATATGTCGATAAATCATCAAACTACAAATAAATCGATACAAAAACCACAAATGCTAAAACCCAGGCCTCCACTTCCAGACAGCTCATTTAATGTGAAAACGTGTCATAGTGTAAATTCTAACAATTACGAAGAGATAAATATCTGTAAAAACAAGATTAACAAACGACCTTCCTACGGGAGAAGTTATAACGACTCACATTACAGCAAACAAAACAAGAAGCCCAATCAACATCTCAACTTGACCTGTCCAAATAATCGCGAAATTCTTTCCGCCGAGATAAAAGATGACGATTCTTATATTATATATTCCCTTTAAGGGATATTTTTATATAAAATAAATCAATTCATAAAATGAATTTTTATCATTTAAATTAATGTTGAAGTGCAATAAATATACATTCTTTAAAATAAATATCATCAAAAGAATCCATTAATTCTTAAATAAAACAAAAAGTAAATTAAGTGAAAATTACATTGGTTATGATATCGTTCTGGCAATTAATTGTAAAATTAAATTGAAGATTTGTGAAATTATACTTTATATTTGATGAAATAAATAAGAAAATTTATTAAAATATTTAATTTTTTTTTATTACATTTCATTCAAATAATATTTAGCCTATTTTTAGCATTCCAACCAGAGCCATATTTTGACTTCTAGAGTCCGATGCACAAATATTTTTTGGGTTTCGTTAAAATAATAAAATTACCTAAGCTTGCATCGGATTTTTCCAATATTGTTTAAATAAAAATGCAGAAAGCTTAAAAGATCATCTTAAATTTTTTATTGAATAATATAAATAGTTAAGTAGCGCGGGGAATATATTCACAAGTTATTATAAAATCATTGCTTTTTTGTTTTGCAATGCATGCTATAGTATCTTCGCAATCTAAAGAAGATGCAATGTCATTTTCAATGGAAAGTGGGGATAAACTGACTAGCCAATCCTATGCCATGGAAGACCTCTGGTAAATCTTGATTAACTTAAAACTATGCTCAACAGATGTCAAGGTGATTCGATTATTAGAATTTTTTAGGACAACTCATATAAAGACTTCAGCAAGTCAATTAGCAAAGATAAGCATAAAATTTTTATAGGAGTGTTCATGTTTGTGAGCGATAGGTTTACAATTAGGTTAATATATTTCATTTTATCCATTAATGTCGTTGAGCAAAAGCAATAAATGGTACAATACTTAATTTCATAAAAGGGTATGAATTTTTATTAGGATAAAATAAAAATATATTTTTGTAAATAGCAAAAAAAAAATAATAGAAATATTAAAATTAATTATTTTATACTTATTGTTTTGGGATAGGAATAATATGATTTTTATATTAAACCATTCCACTTAATTACTTGAAGTTATATTGTAAAAGTAGAGATACAAATATATTTTGCGAGCCGCAAAATCCGATAGAAATTTTTAAGGGCCGTACCGACCTCCTACCAATATTTTGTCAAAATTTTATTATCAGAATCATTATATCTATTCTAGCTCATTATGTTAAATTGATTTTATTAAAAAAAATTAAATTTTTTTAAATAGATTATTAAATTTAATTATTGAGCGTTTCTTTTGTTAAATGATCCGGCTTTTTTCCGTTTTTTATATTTGAATTTTTTTTTACAACCTTACAGGCGCGTACGCAGGAATTTGGTCTGGGGGGGGGGGAGGATAATAAAATTTTTTAAGAAATATTATTGTTAATTAAAAATACTAAGCATAAATTTATTAGGACTAATACTAACTTTTCTAATACACAATTTTAAATTAATGTGAATTACAAAAAAATTATATATATAAACCGGCATTAAAAAACTATAAAATAAATGTGAATTATAAAATATAAAGAGAATATAACCACGATATGAATCACTTAGATGAAAAATTGAAATTTGAATTTTTTGAGCCTTTAAAATATATAAAGTATAAAAAATTTTAATGTTGGAAATACAAATTAATACACAAAAAGTTTCTTAGGAATAATTGTATTTTATATGTTTTGAGCTAATTTTTCAATTATCTATCCTTACTTGGCGTTAAATGCCTATGAATATTCAAAAGATCCAAATCATTCAATCTACTTTCAGAAGTTGTATTTCATAGGTATGTTTTTCAGAGACTTGCCAGCCCGGCCACCGAGCCGGACCATATTTTAATTTTTTTAAACATATCCGGGCCGAGCTGTATATTTTAAAATCAAATATTTGAAATCGCCATTATTAGCTATAAAAATCAAAAATAAATATAATTTCTTTTAAAAAAATTCGGGCCAGGCCTGAATATTATATTTTCAAAAAAGCCGGGACGGGCCTGAAAATTTTTTTCAAAAAAAACGCGGGCCGAAAAAATATTTTAAAAAATCTGGGCTGTGCCCTGCAAATGGTACCTCTGCAGGGCTCTGTTATTCTTCTTAAAAAGATAATGTTCTCTCATTAGTTTACTAATGGGAAGAGTTGCTAATATATAACCATTTTGATACATTGGGAATATAATCTAAAATGTGTTTGAAATAATGCAAAGCATCCATAACATTTTTTGGGACTGTATCAACCATAGTTAATCTTTTAATAGTTATTCAGCTAATAAGGCATCATAAGATATTTTAACATCTTCATGATAAAAATCTAACAAATATTTTTTTTTCTATCACCATCTGAAAAGGTTGGAAAGGCTTTTGTGGAAATAATATCTGCGGATTTGTAAGTGCTGCATGATGAATCAAAAACCAATTATTTATTTGGGTTATAAATATATCTAAGAGAGGGGACTTTTTTTTAATACTCTTCTACTGATCCTATATTAATGTTTTGACGATGAGCTTGCTTGCTGCAAGTCGAGGGGGGGGGGCAAATATTAAACACGTATAGCTCTGCTTTTGACTCAACAATAACATATAAAATATGAAATTCTTCATCAACATTAGCTATAATTTCCTTGAGTTCTAATAAAATGCTCTCGGCTATTCTCATCTTCTTAATCAAGTCAATGTCATGTTTTTGAAAAGTATTACATAAAATAGTTTTATAATTAAATAATACATTCTAATGATAAAAAAAATTTGGAATTGAGGAAATATTTCTTTCAAGCCATTGTGATACTTCAGTAATGAATGGCATTAATAATCGGCTCTTCTAACTCCATAAAAGCTGTTTCTGCTTGATGACGGAGACTCGATCTCGTTGGAGAGGCTTGCAATTTCTTTCTCCCTGTTGGACAAGGATTTTCAGAAATAATTATTATTTGACTAGAAATTTAGATAACGCCATTAAAAGTTGAAAATAATAGGTAAATTACGCCAAGGAAAACTTGAAATCGAAATTAAAATAACTTAGTAGATTAATGTGATAAATAAATGTAATTAACTATATATATGAGATAGGAATAAATATTAACAAATATAAATTAATATTAACAATAATATTTTTGAAAAATGTAATCCGGCATCTGCATTTTTTGGCTTTGACGGGGATTTGTCCCCCTGCCCCCCCCCTCCCCCGCTGCGTACGTGCCTGCAACCTTAGATAAAGGACACATCAATTTGAGCTATTGATATGAATTATAAATGAATATGGTAAAGAATGAAACATTAATAAATACTTATATATAGTATAAAATATATAAAGATACGTCTTGAATATTTTTTTAAAATAAGCAATTAGGCCGCGTCCTATGTCTTACTTAATATTCAGCTATTTATTATCGACTAAATAGCCAAAAAAGCAAAAAAAAATTTTTTTAAAAAAACACATAACTAGAAAATTGAGAATAAAATATGAAAAATAATAATGCCACCTATTACTACGTGATACGTGATATATAGCGCATCGCCCTCTAACGTTGAATACACAACAGAGCTACGCTAGGTTTTCCTCATTTCCATCTAATTGGAACAATTTAATTTGGGTATAAAAGTAAAAATATGAGGAGCCCTCCACACGTTTGTGGGCAAGCCGCACGTACTTGTAGGCACAACATTTCGAAAAATGTTGCTTAAACCTCTATAGGCTTTAATTTAAAAGGAGTGGGACAAAGAAAAAGCCTATACCCGAGAACTACAGTATAATTTAATTACTTTAAAGATGGGTGATGGCTGATTTTAAGCTTAATTTCTTTAGTGTAAGTTATAATTACTATCAATATTGAGATATAATGTTCATAGAATCTGTAAATAAATATGATTAAAATAAAATAATATTTACCGTTCTATCACTTCAAATTTTCCACCAGAAGTATTTTCAAATCCTTTTATATTTTTTTGTTTTATGAATGCCTGAAACATATGTAAAGAATAAATTAAAATAGGATGGATGTCCGACCTAAAACAATTTTTATCCTGTATTAAAAAGCACTAAATATCCAAATTAAGTTGAATAAGGACAAAGCATTTTCTTAACAATCAAAATATGAACGGTATGAAATAGAAAAATAATATAAACAATTAATTTTATACAAGGCTGAAACTAAATTTTTATACAAACAATTTATATTTAAAAACAAACCTAAATGATATTTTTAAACACAACATATATGGAATGTGATAAATTAGCTTGCCAACTTGGGATTTCTACCTAATTTGTAACCTAGATAGTACAGATGCTTATTAATGCTAGTTTTGCAAAAAATAGTATATTTTATATTTTTAAATTTAATTTTTCTATTTGTTTTTGTTTACCTTTCTATTTTCCCCATTTTTAAGCATATTAAATTTTTTTAAACAGATTTCCTTTTCGATTTTGTCCTGCGAGTCATTTTAAAATATTTTATGATTATTAACTGAGTTCTTTCTTATTTTTTTAACCTAATTCTCTAATGCAATATAGTCATTTAAAATAATTTGCGACTTTTTCAATTTTAACTTAATTTTTCTCTCTTTTTGTTAGATTATTTATTTTTTTCCCTCACCCGTATTATAATTGAATATTATATAATTTTTTAATTGATACTTAATTTTTTTTACTCATTTTTATCCCATTATTGAATTTAAAAAATTTTCTTGAGATTATTTAAATATTTTATGCCTAAGAATTAGATTAGTTTCTATATTTTTAACATCATGGTATAAGAGTTGTTAAAAAATAAAAGCCCGATTTGGGTCAATTTTTTAATACGGCTCTATTAAGATTCTAGCTAAAATGGTATTGTATAAGCCTAAAAATTTGGCAAGTAGAAGCCCAAACCTTGCCCTCTATAAACAAAATCACCAGGCTTTGGTTATAATCTTAATCGGGCTTTTTAACAACACTAATGGTATGATCTAATATTGACTAAACTTTAATTTAGTTTATAAATATTTCTAATTTTTTCAAATGTAAATAGAATGGCATCATTATTGACAAAAAGTGGATATGTATATCATTGGAATTAACTTATTCTCAGGTGATTATTTGTCTATTTTTGGTTTTAACACTCAGTTTTGTTAAATATTTTATGATTTTTAACTTAACTTTTTTTAAAAAAATTATCTTTTTTTCCTATTTTTTAGGTATTATCATTGGTATTTCACAATTTTTCATCCAACATATATTCTCCTAAAATGGTTATGGGCCGCTATTACTACTATTAAAAAATGTTAAAAAAGCTAATAAGCTAAAATGGCCCCTATAAGTTTGAAGTGAGAGATTTATAATAAATATTGCAATCTATCCATTCCACAATTACATAAGTTTCATAAATAGCTGGGTTTATGTAGATCTAGGAGTCTCTATTAATTTTATTCATTAAAAAAAATCTTATATCAGTAAGTTGAGTAATTTTTATTTAAGATGTTTTTTATTTTGAGAAGTATGTGAAACTAATGTTGATAAATAGGTATCTAATAATCTCATATTTTAGCTTTAAGTTTCAGTCATATACCTCTTATATATTAAAATTACAAATTCTACTCCATTTTCCATTTTCATAACATTAAATTATTTATTAAAATTAAAACAAAATAAATTCTTATAATGACTTTTGCAAATATATTAAATCTTATAATATATTATAATTATATATCAAATAATGAATTAATGTGAAGTCATATTTTCATAGTAAAAAATAATATATAATAACAAACATTGATACTCAGTATACACATATAATTTTCTTAAATAATCACACAAATGAAGAATATATAATCTTTAATATCAATATTAAATGTAAATAATATTTTATAATATTAAATACAAAACAATTCGATAAATATTAAATGCAAAACAATTTTATAAATATTAATTGCAAAACAATTTTATAAATATCAGATGTAAAACAATTTCATCATTCATAAAAGGTAGGGTGAGCCTGATTGACCAAATAATACACATGATAAACTAGACAAAATCATTTAGAAACTAATTGTAATAGTTTGTTCACTTCTTTAAAGAACATTATAAATTAATAATTCATATTTTACTTTATATCTTTTTTTATCCTAAGAGAGTAAAGCTTCTTTTTTATACTGTGCCAATTGAGATAAATAAACTTTAAGCTTTGAGCATATAAATTTTAAGCTTAATATTTGAGCATACAAATTATAAGGTTAAGCGAAATTTAGCGAAAAGTTTGCCGACAAAATACCTAATTATAACTAAAAAATAGTAAAGGCGGCAGAGCTTGTACTCGAATCTAGATTTCATTCATTTAACACCATATGACTTGAATGTTTAAAAAATTTTGTAGAGGATTTTATTATAATCACATATACCATAATAAAAAATTAATTTTAGGTATTGAAACGAGTTGTGATGATACAAGCCTAGCATTATTAACTTATCCGGATGGCGATATTATAGGAACTAGCCATAAATCTCAACAAGCTTTTCACTCATTTACTGGAGGTATTAATCCAATATTTGCTCGTGATTTCCATGAAATCAATATAGAAAAATGTTTTTCTGAAATCGAAATTAAATTGATTAATTATCTAAAATCACAGAACATTTATATATCCAATGATAATTATCATATATGGAAAAATCTCATGGCTATTGCTGTAACAACAAAACCTGGCCTACCATTATCATTAGAAATTGGCATTGAAACTGCTAAAAGAATATCTTCCTTAGTCATGCCCCCTATACCTATAATCCCTATACATCATATGGAAGCCCATGCTCTGACACCTCGTATTCCTGAAACTGTATCTAATTTAAGTCCAAAAAATCAATTAAAATTTCCTTATCTGTGCTTACTAATTTCTGGTGGACATTGTTTATTAGTTTGGGTAAAGGATGTATCAGATTTTTATATTATTGGGAATACTAAGGATATAGCTCCAGGAGATGCTTATGACAAGATATCAAGAAAATTAGGTTTAAATTATGACATGAGATTTAATGGAATGAGTGGCGGTAAATCGATTGATACAATTATATCTAACATCTCTAATAATTTAAAAATAAAAAATAATATTATCAATCCTATGAGTAATTATGTAAGTTGTGATTTTTCATTTAATGGATTATTATCAACATTTTTAAATTTGATAGACCAATGTCAGCTTAAGTATAAAAATGAATGTGATGACTTTATCTCTGATGATTATAATGAATCTCCTATAATTAAAAATAATTCTTTTGTGGAATATTACAAAAAACAATTAAATGGAATTACTAATTATCAAGATTATAGCAAAAATTCGTTATATATACAAAATTTATACGATTTTTCAAAGGCTCTAATTGCTACATATTTTCAACAAATTTTAACAGAGCATATTATGCAAAAGACCATTCGAGCTTTTGTATATTGCGAAAAACATTTGATTCCCTTTATTAATGAAGTACCTGTTTATAATTTTGCAGTATCTGGTGGAGTTGCTAGTAACAATTATATACGCACTTCTTTGCAAAAGTTATGTCAAACTTGGAAATGGAACCTACATATTCCTGACCCAGAACTATGCACAGACAATGGAGTAATGATAGCTTGGAATGCTATTGAAAAGATAAAATCATTAACTAACAAAAATCAAAATATATGTGATTACGATTTATTAATCAAAAAAATAAATGAATTTGTTCCAGATTTAAATATTCAAAATAAAAGTTCATTTGGTATCTCAATTGTGGAAGATGTAACAATTGCAAACCTTAAAAATAGAATAATAAAGAGTCATATGTTGGATAAAAATAATATTCAAAAAATCATGAAAGTTGAATGAATATTGGTGATATCAGAATAATATATATCAATGTGTTAAATCCATTAAAAAACAGTTTATTCATAATCATAATTAGAGGATAGTCATATTCAGGATTTTCCTAAGGGAAAGGTATCCCTGGGTACTGGAACACTTTATGCCCACTTTTTCAAGCCTTTGGTTAGGGTAAAAAAATTCACAAAAACAAACCTATAATATTTTCCCAAAATGTTTAGTAATTTTTTGATTTATATTTTTTAATAAATAATAGAATATTAGTGTTTATAAAATAAAATTGATATTTTTTTTGGATCAGTAAAAAAAAGTCTGAACTTTAAAATTATATTTGTTCAGTAAAAAAAAAATATGACTCAAAAAAAAGTAATCACATTTTTTCACCAACTTGGGACAATATTTTTAAATCACAAACCAACTTTCTTGAGGGGTTAGATATATATGATTTAGAGCAGTGATGAAACTTCCATACTAAAAGAATTATTATCATTAAGCCAGCTATAAAAGAATAAAATGAATTTCACCTTAATAAAATTTAAGTCGCCATTGCTACCTGCCAACTATACATTCCTACCATTAATCTCCAAGACTTTAACATGGCTCGGCTCTCATGCCCTAGCCTTTTTTAAGGAGCTGGGGCACCAGATCTCTGCTATGACCGAGGATCCCAACGAGGGATACTACCTACGTCAGAGATTGGCCTAAACATAATAAAGTGCAATCATCTCAGCTTTATATTTTCAATAACCGAAGCCCCCTGATTCAACATGGGCATAGGATATGCTTAGGCTATTTTTCTTCCAATTATAACGTTGACGCTAAAAATGAACTTGGATCTCAAGCGATAAAAGACAGCAAAAATTAATGACAAAAGCAAAAACACAAATAAAAATGCGTAGATGTTGAGAAGATCAGTGGCCACCAAAGTAAAGCCAATGCTACTTTTTAGATGAAGAATTCGTAAATTTTCACTTACTTAAATTATTAATATTATATAAATTTTCAATTAAATTAATATTATACTAATTTATAATTATAATCTTTTTAACAGATAGTGGATTATCTATTTACATAATACAAATATATTATCAAATTTGAAATAAATTTTTTAAAAATTAAGACACCATTTTATCGGATCTTAAAATTTAACAATATTGGCCGATAATCGATATTTTTAAAAAGATGAAATATCGGTCCGATACGATAAACGTTTAGGGAACGTTTTTCTCTAAAGAAAGCTAAAGGCATTTAACAATAATACATAAGTATTATCTGGTCAGGTCCTATAAAGAAATATTATTAAATAAGTTCTTGTTATTCTATATCGAAGAAAACATATTTAAACATGTAAGGGAAATCGGGTTAAACGATTTTGCGTTTTTACTATAAAATTAAAACAAATGCAAAACACAAATATTAGATTTATATGTAGTACAATCCCTCACCTACAAACCCTCTACCTATAATACTTTAGGAACTATGAATAATTAGATGCTCTATAGTTAAAATAAAATTGAACACAACTTTATTGTTTTATTTAACAAAATAGTAATAATTTTGACATCTATTATATAAACTAATCAATGCAATAAAGGAATCTAAAAAAATTATCACGAATAACACATTGAGTGTGTTCATTTTTGCCACATTATAAATTATAATATTCTTCACACATGTAACCATTTTTAAAAATTTTATTCCATAGCACACAAACTATTAAAGTTCCTTTTTGCTTAAAAATATCTTTTTATATGGATGGGAGATTTCCAGTTAAGCTAACCTATTTTGGGCAAAATGTCAAACCAGTACGATTTTCCAAAAGATGATCATAGATAAACATAAATACAGCTTCCTACCAAATTTAAGCTCTTTATGGTCAAAGGTTATATTCTCGTTAACATTTTTATCCCGTCAATCCGTTTAGCCTGATCTCCTATACAATTAGAATTTTAAAAAAATTTAATTGTTGAGTCTGATGATATACTGAAATGTTAATATTAATTAAATTATTATTATTAGGCTTTTAAATACTTAAATAAATAAATATTAACGTTAGCTCCTTACATATATATTTTAACATTTCATATTTATAAGTAAATTCTCAAATAAAACACTATAACCAGTTAATACAGGGTATATAGCCAGTCATAGCATACCAAGTGTTGACTCACCCGGAAAAAAAACTATCACGTAAACTCATCTAACTCAAAGTCTAAAGAATTTTTAAAGAAATTAACCACAAAATTTAAAAAAAAAAATTTCAAACCTTGATTTAAATTTAATTTTATAGATTAAGGACTGGGTTACACCTCGATATTAAATTTGTTCGAATAAACCCAATGAAATGCATTTTTGAAAAGATCTTTATGTTGTGATGGATTATTATGTTAATTTTATGTTTTACTTTGTGTGTATTATTCTAATTTTTAACAGTTGAAGCTTAATTGACTATATTTAAATTATTATATAACCCTAATTAAATAAATAAAATCATTTATTAATTGAAAACTAAAAAATTGAATATTATAATTAGCCGAGTTCAAAATGACTAATCAACTGTATATTTATTTTTAAATTTTATTATAATACCTATTCCTGAAAATATTTTCAAGGTCCAAATAAGTATAAGAGATTTCTTTATAAAAAGTAAGTAATTAGACATATAGTTTATAATCCTCAATTATAACAGTTGTTTACAAAATATTAGATAAAATGCCACTTTTATAGACGTATTTGTCAGTTATATAATATATTAAAGTTAATATATGAATTTTACTAATAAATACTTTTGATAATAAATATAGTAATAATTTGCATTTAAGTATTTAACGCCATCTATTTACTTATTTTCAAAATTTCACCGTACAGAAATGTTTAACTTAACAGTATATTTATTTATTTTTTTACCCCTTTTTTTTTTGAATAAATTGGTTTTATTTTTCTTTAAAACACTAAAAAAATATAATTGATAATAATAATGAATTTCCACTTTTTTTTAGTTTATATAAGATTATTATTTTTTTTATAAATATTAAATTATTATTTATTTTTTTTTACATAATAAATATTAAAAATATTTATATAATGACGTTCAAGATGACTGCGCGAAACAAAAAAAATATTAAAAATAAAATTTCAAACAAAAAAATATTTATATAATGACGTTCAAGATGACTGCGCGAAACTAAAAAAAAATATTAAAAATAAAATTTCAAACAAAAAAAAAAATATTTCATGACTCATACAAAGAAAATAATAAAACTATTTATAACACGCCCCCATTAAATGAAAACCCTTGAACATACCAAAAAAAATTAAAATTGTTGTTTAACAAAGATAAACAAGGGGGTTTTGTACATAAAATCAAAATGTAATTATTTATTATTCTCTACATATGTTAACATAAATAAAAAAAAATATATGATGTAAAATATCTTATCGTATTTTCCCCGAAAATCTATTAAGGAAAATGATATTTTAAAAAAAAAATTGTTTTATTATTACAAAATTTGTAAAATTTATTCTGGTCCCATTACATCCTCCAACAATTCCTGAATCTCAGAGGCCGACAAATCAACCATCGGCCACTCTTCAGCGTAATAGGCCCTGGGACTCGCCTCCGGCGTTTCTTCTCGAAACGGCTCAATAATCCCCACCGGTCGCCCCATCGCAGTTATGGATGGATCTTGTTGCGGCATTGCCCCTATCGTCAAAGGCGGCAAAATGGTCCTAACTGGGCGTGCGTCGCTCCTTCCCGGGCTTCGGCTTCTGTGGCTCGTCGTTTCCCTATTATCATTTAAGTCTTGCCTACGATTTGGCCCACGGGGGCACCGCATTCGCAAATGACTAGGCGAACCACACAAGTAACAAGAACGTCTCCTCCTCGAGCGCATGCTGAGGTGCCGGGGCTCCGGTAATTCGGAGTGATCTAAATTGTTCGTTATTATTCCGGACACTCCCCTTTGGACCGGGGGCGATCTACTGTTTCGGCGTATTGGAGGCGAATGGTCTATTATGCTTCGGTAATTCAAAGGCGAGATCGGTCGCCCATCCTCATTAACATATCCTCGATAAATACTTATCCTAACGGTTAAATTCTCCCAATATATGCACCGATGCCTCCCCGACATTCTTTTTTAAGGAAAAGGTATAATATATAAAAAAAAATTAATAACAGTTTTCACTTACTTTTCTTTTGGGTCAAAATGAATAAATACAGGAAAATTTTCTTTAACAAAATTAACAATTATACAAAAAAAATTTTAATTTTGCATTTGTAAAATTCCCCTTTTAACGCCCAATTATTGGAACCTTCCTTGTTTGTGTCTCGCTTCCAACTGTCATTGCCGAAATTTTTTCCGTGTTTCAGTCCAACTTGGAACCACTTTTTATTTGTTTCCTAGTCCAATTGTCACTCCTTTTTATTCTATTCTCCAATTATATACAAGTTCTATTTCCAACTTTTGATTTACGATCCCGGCATCTCTCAAAATTATCCCTTACTTTAATTTATTACTTTGGTTAACATATCCAACATTTTTAACTTTTTGTGCATCATTTATTGGCACTCTAATTAAGTTCCCCCTTTTTTTTTAAAAAAAAATACTCGCTTTATTCCCCGAATCACGAAATCATTGACTAACTGATATCATTGATATTTATTTTATTTTCTATTAAATGTGATGTAATCCCGTAATTGTGGAGGTATTAATATCTCGGGTTAATTATCATTATCGATTTTTTTTTTTTAAATTAAATTTGATTTAATCTCGGAACTGCGGAGGTATTATCATCTTGGGTTAATTATTAGTATTATTATTTTCTATGTGCTTTAACTCGAGAATCACGAAAATTTTTTTTTTATATATATATATATATATATATAACCCCTTAACCTCCAACATTATTAGCACCGGTTACCATTATTATTATTGATCCCCCTTTTTTTTTTTAAATTTGATTTAATCTCGGAATTGCTGAGGTATTATCATCTTGGGTTAATTATTATTATCGATTTTTTTTTATTAAATTTGATTTAATCTCGGAACTGCGGAGGTATTATCATCTTGGGTTAATTATTATTATTAGTATTATTATTTTCTATGTGCTTCAACTCGAGAATTGCTAAGATATCTATCCCTCTCTCCTCGCCGCATCATGGCTAGATTTCAATCTTTCAGACTCTACTCTCTTCCGTATCTGTTCTACGTGTCTAACTCCTTCCTTTCCGTCCACGAATTTTACTCTCACCATTTTATGCCCCATGTTCTGTATAATTATTCCTGACTCCCATTTTCGGGTACCTCCAAAAATTCTCGCCCATACGGTCTGACCATTCACAAATTCACACTGATTATCCATTGAATTTTCCTCCTGCGCCGGTTTGGGTCTTAAGAAATCCAACTGAATACGAGTTCTACGGCCCAAAAACTTTTCTGCTGGGGACAATTCCTCTCCCTTTCGACTATTGTTATAATACGCAATCGCTATCCAAATCTCTCCACCCCCATATTTCGACTTCCTCAACCAACTCTTTACCACCGCCACCATCCTTTCCGCCTGCCCATTCGAGCTTGGGTGGTAAGGAGGTGCCAAAATGTGTCTCGCCCCAGTTTCAGTACAAAAAACTTTAAATTGTTTACTTATAAAAGCGGGTCCTCCATCCGACACGACTATTTCCGCTACCCCAAACTTTGCCCAAAGATCTTTTAACGTCTTAATTACCACTTGCGTTGTTAACCCCTTTACTTCTTGATACTCTACCCATTTTGAGTAAGCGTCCACTACGAGGAGATATATTTTATTTTCGAAGTCGAAAAAGTCTAAGTGTACTCTTTCCCATGGTTGAGTAGCCCTAGGCCAAATACTTTTCTTGTCCTTTCGAGGCATACTTGCCCATGAATTACACATTTCACAACTTCTCACCATATTCTCGATTTCTTTATTCATGCCAGGCCACCATACGTATTCCCGCCCCCATTGTTTCATTCGTTCCATACCCTGATGTCCAGCATGGATCATTGTCTT